CCTTGTCTAGTGGGAGATGTCTGATTAGGAAGCTCTTCCTCTTCGTGGTGGTGGGGTTTTTGTTGGTGTAAATTTAGAATATGGCTTTCCTTCAGSATTGACATTATTTTATTGAAAACCAGAGTTCACTACTAACCTGCACAGAAAACAGAGAGATTGATTTCTTTATCAGCCTCACATCTAAAGCTGCAAGTGGATTTGTTGTGAAAACACGAGGCTACAGGAGAGCTTGCCTTGTCTCTTGGCTGGGCCTTGGACTCGCCAAGGGCCCCTGGACACTTGTAAAGGGAGAATAATATTGCCTGTTCATAGAGTATGAGAAAAACAAAGTAATTTTTATGTTCTTGGTACTGTTCTGGAGMAGCACTGGGAATTGTGAATAAAGTTATAATGCATGGAAAATATAATACACTTTTTGTGATTAAAGAACATCATCTAATGGATTGTATTTCCAAGGGAGAGACAGAGAGACTCTTCATCTGGCTTCAGTGATAAAACAGTGGTTTCTGTGAAAACCACTCCAGTTCATTTTCTCTGTCCTATTTGCTGGTACACAAGTAATGTGGAAATTCAGGGTTTACCTAATTTTAAGGGTTGTGTGGAAAATGAAGGYTTGTCTTTCAGTAGGGAGCTCTGCTAAATGGAATGGGATCCATGAATACCATATGYCAGGATAATCCCCTCCCTGACCCTTGCCAAGCCTCTAAGACCTGTCTGGTGACATTTTGRAGGTCTAAATTGTAGCCTGAGTCAGGCCTGCCTGTGTTGTTTWTACTTAATCTGATTTGTGCAATATTGGCCATGAAAATGAGGATGCTTCAATGTATTTAGACTGTATTTGGGTTTCTAATTCACACTAATGCCTGCATTTCTATTGTTAACCCAGCTATCAGTCTAAAACTGCTGATTGTACAGCTACCCTGCGTGCAGGTACAGTTTATGGAAGTGTAGGGAAAGCATTAATATACTTAATCTCTTTTCCTTGCTGGTTACTCAGTGGAAGCAGGAGCTCTCTTCACACACAGGTTGTTGTGAGGAGAGGTGTGTGACTGTAGTATAATGGGGGTGTGAGAAGAACTGCAAAGAGCTGGTCTGGTGTGAAATCTTCAGAATTTATTCTGTACGTGTTGTGCATAACTGGAAATAACTTTAAACTCTCACAGTTTTCTGTGCTAAAATATATTCAATCCAGAATTTCCTTCAGTAACAAGATTTGCATTGCTATCTTTTAGAACTTTATTCTCTCATGTGTGACTCTCAAATCAGTGCAAAAAAAATTGTCAAAGCTGGCATCATCAGGAATTGTGTCTTTTCTCTAATTCTCACATTTTAGGAGCTCAGCCTGAAGTTCTTGTGTGCATTTTACTGATTTTTCCTACAGCAATAACCAGAGATGTTCCCCTAATTACAGTGTTGTACTGGGAACTTCAATTCTCTTCAAGTTTGTCACTTAATGATGGCTTGCCTCTCTTATGACTGTGAAAACTGCTCAAGACCACTGTTGCAGCTGACATTTTTGCACAGATGAGTCCATCTTACCATTTACCACTTGTGAGTCTATATCTTTCCTTGGCTGTGCACGAAGTCAGAGTGGCTGCCTTGTGCCACTGGAGGCTTGGTTTTAGTGAAACAGAGCAGCATCGTGGCCCTTATTGTCCTTGAATGTCCTAAAAAACTTGAATTCCACAGGAAAATCACCACAAAGCCCCAAAATTAGCCAAACCCAGCCCTCCTGAGCTGTGCAAAAGGACCTTGTACAGGGTTTTCAGTATTTAGTGCTGTAAGGCTGTTKTGCAGATTTCCAAACATTTTGTAACTGAAAATCAACCAGACTTGAGTTACTTTTTACTGTTACCTGTGCAAATTATACTGCACATTTTTATATACATGTACATGCATGAAGTATGTTATACTGTACTATATATCTATGTTCTATAGAGATAATTCTATAGTAAATCTACTATATATCAGATTTTGAACTGAAATGTATTTTACTCTCCACAATGCACCAGATGCTCCCATGACAAATGGCAGCAGCGTTTTCCAGCTTACACTGATTTTTTAACACCAATATCATGATAAGTGAGGATCTCAGAGATAAAATAATCAACCACACAAAACCATATTCATTGCYGGACAGTCAAATGCACTCTTTTGTTTTGTTTTTTGCTGCTAGGGGGGCAAGATTCCCATCCGATGGACATCCCCAGAAGCCATTGCCTATCGGAAGTTCACATCAGCCAGTGACGCCTGGAGCTATGGGATTGTCCTCTGGGAAGTGATGTCTTATGGGGAGAGACCCTACTGGGAGATGTCCAACCAGGATGTGAGTACACTCAAGTTGTGTTCTCAGATAGGGAATCAGGCTGTGAAAGGGAGCAAGCACCATGAAAACAGGTGGCCCTGAGTTTTTGATGGTGACATTGAATACGATGTAGAGATGGAAATCTTCGGATCTCCCCGGTCAAGTAAAAGTTCATTAGAACTTAACAAGCCCACCATCTTTATGGCAGAGTATTTTGGACCTCTGAAGGAGCAGAGCAGAGAATTTTATCCCATTGGTGGTTTTCTGTAAGATGATGCAAACAATTCCACTGCAATGAGGTCATTGCCTTTTCAATTCCTTAGTTCATTGTTGGAAAAGCCTCCTAAATTTCTGTTGATCCYCTTTGGTTCCACTTGTATAATATTCTGTAGAGGTTTTCTGTAAATGTCAAATGCACAGGATAAATTGCTCTTGGCACTTGTGAAAAAGAGAAGCAAAGCATTTCTGCTRAGAGTCTAATGAAACTGAAATGCTTCTGGAAGTAATCAATGGATAAAATAGAGAAGTAGAGTGATCTGATTAGACTTCCAATACAGGTTTCTTTGTAACATTAGTAAACTGTCCAAGCCTGCAATCCAAATGATTAATGGARCTCTCCCAGTATTTTTTTAAAGAACCATAACATTTCCCCAAATAAGATTTTTATTATATCTATTTTGGGGTTCTTTTTCTGTTGTTTTATTAATTTTAGATTTATTCCACAGGAGTTGCTTATGAAATTTTATGAAGTGCTGTCACTCACACGAAGAGATTTTTCAGGGAGCTGGTATACATTGTTATTAGTATTAAATTTAAAAAATAAGTAACTTAGTTGTAGTTAGACATTTTCTGTTCTACTTTATGTTAAACAAGGAAAAAGAGAAGAAAACTTCCTTTTAAATGGAAGTTACCTCTGAAACCCAAGTCTCTGCAGAAAACTATGTATTTMTTTTAATTGGTAATGAATGTTTTTTCTATTGTTTATGGAGATTAATGTAGCCTGTTGGGCAGACTGATTTATTGTTGGAATGCCTTTAATAATATCACATTAAAACCAGAAACAGAAGGATTAACCTATTTATGGGCCTCTCCTTCATGGCTGCTTCAGTCATTAACTGTTCTCTCGTCCTTGCTCTGATTCAGAATAGTTTGTCCTGCTTTTCAATTAASTGATGCAGATAGAAAGGAAAGATTAACAGAATATGGCTTTATCATTTTCTACTTTGAATACATTGGGGTTTTTTATTCATGGCACAATAGATACTGTAGGCCTGATCATGAGGTTTTAGACTCTTGTAAAAAGGCTGGATTAAAAATCTTCTGGACAGTTTAAATTCTAAAAGAATCCTGGGTTTGTGTGTGTCAGTCTAGAAAAATTATAGACAATTTGRACAAATTTTATCAATCTAGGCAGATTGTACAAGAACAGGGCTTGCATTGCCTAGTAGAAAGTGTGCAGTTATCCATGAGGCAAGTTTTAAAAACATTTTGTGGCCCTGTGACATCATCTGCAAGACCTTTTGTCTGTTGGTTCRGGATGTCCTGTTAGGGGCCAGGTTGATTTTCAGCAGGGTAGGTTGTTGTTTTCCGTTGTTTTTTTTGAGTTCAATGTCCACTGGAGGACGTGGAAAGGTTTCTGTTTTGTTTTGGTTTTTTTTTTTTTTTTTTTTTTTTTTTTTTTTTTTTTTTAATTCAGTGTCCACTGGAGAACGTGGAAAAGTTGTTTTTTTCTGTTGTTTTTTTGAGTTTAATGTCTACTGGAGGATGTGGAAAGCATGTGTTGCTGAGAGTGATCAGAGGAGATATTCAAGATCTTTTGAAATTTGGCATAMTGAAGCAAGTACTTACTAACTGTGGCTTTTGTTTATGGATTTAGTCCAACCTGAGTGTGAGTTTCTGAGATCCTTTCCCCACACTCACCTTCTTCAAAGTCACACCCTGTATCTTAACTCCCCTCTCTGCGTGCCTAATCTGCTGCCTGGTTTACTTAGCAGATAAACGAGCGGCATTGCACGGCAAGACAATTAGCGAATAAACACCTTTGTTTAAACACTGAATGTCCACGTTAGTGTTCACAGAGCTGATAAAAACCAAGTTAGTGTAAAGTGCCTTTAAGTTTCCCYGAAACTTTTCTCCTTGTGCAGGTGATCAAGGCTGTGGATGAAGGGTACCGCCTGCCGCCTCCCATGGACTGCCCAGCTGCCTTGTACCAGCTGATGCTGGACTGCTGGCAGAARGACAGAAACAACAGACCCAAGTTTGAGCAGATTGTCAGCATCCTGGATAAACTGATCCGTAATCCCAGCAGCCTGAAAATCATCACCAACGCGGCAGCAAGGTGACATGTTAGATCTTGCATTGCTCATGAGCCTCTTTGTTTTCTTCATCTCTTGCAGCAGGAATTTGTTTGCTCCCTTTACTGCCTCTTCACCTTTTAACCGGAGCTGTTTGTAATCTTTAAGGATACAGAATGCTTCCGAACTATTCCTTTAGGAGAWGGAGCAAATATAATTATTTTTATTATTGCTGTTATTTTCATTGACTATTTGCTATTATTTATCCTGTTTGAGGGAAATTTTTATGCTCAGGTTATGAAACTCATAAGATTGAGTAGMATTTTTGAGAAAAACATAAATGGCAGATTTGGCCATAACACGATCTTCCTTTTCCTTCTGCCCTTTGGTGGAGATTTAAGTACTTGGTGTTTCACAGGCTACAGCCAGCAATGTTCCTAAGTATCTTCCTGAATTGGGTCCAAGTACACTTATGCTCTTCTCTGACACGTCACGTTAACTTTAATCATATGAATAATCTTCCTTTTCGCTTTCAGTAGTGCTCGCAGACTTAAAAATGCACTCACGCGCCCTCTTAGATCAATGTGTTAACTAGGAATTAATTTTCAACCTGTGCAATGTTCCTAATTGCATTTAAAACATCCATTTTTAATCCTGGGTTTTCAACACGCTCTGGAACATCACTGTGGTGAGATAAGAATTATCTCATTGAGAGAGAGCAGCTGAAGAGTGTGTCTACACCTAAGGGCACAATGAGGATGTGGTGAGAGAAGAGTTTTAGTTAAGTAGGGTTAAAGAGAATTGGTTTGTACAATACACAAAGTGTCACATTCTTACTGAAGGGTTGTAAAAGATGTAAAATTATTTTTAGCAGGAATGCTGGYGCCAAATCCTCTGTCAGCAAACCAGGCAGAGTCAGGGAGAATAGCGCTCTGCTCCTCTGCTGCTTCAGACCCAGARCCCGTGTTTCCATGGGCAAGAGACCAGAGCCTGACACGAGGCAAATTTCAAAAGAGAACACAGCAAAACCTTCCTCCCAGACCTTTGCTTGTGATGCAGCACGCTTGCCACAATTGAATGGGAAGGCACAGAGGGGAAATGGAGCAAAGGCAGTGGGAAGAGCTGCATTGATCCTGCAGCCTGCTGTGCGACTGGCACGGACCTTGCCTCCTCCTTCCTGGCCCCAGCTTTATGCTGCACCCTCAGCTGGAGACTGACCATTCTAATTACCTCCTACTGCCACTCCAGGGAGGAGGAAAAGGAAGTGGAGATGGGAGGAGAAAGGCAGTCATACTAATGGGCTTTGCTTTTGAATTTATATATTGAGAGAAGATGGCTCGCATACTCATTCAATTTCAGTAATTTGCTTGGTGAGCCTTTAATACATAGAAACCAACATGCTTGCAGAAGCAATAATTTCTGTTTCCTTGGAGGTGATAGAAAAAASAAACAAAAAAAACACAACACATTTTTGGGAAAAACCCCACACTGTTTAAACACCATTTCATCAGTCAAGTGCATTTCTTCCAAACATYTTGCACCCCTACTTGGCAAACTATTGGTGCAAATAATTATTTCCAGGGATATGCTGCAGCAATCTGCTGAACAGGGCAGTTAGGAATTGTAACTATCTTATTTTGGTTTGGAGGTTTGATTGCAGAAACCAGTGCTGCATATTTTGCATTCCAAACAGAAGCAAAATACTCCCTGTTTTTCTGCCCTACCAGTTACAGATCTGAACCCCAGAAGAGCAAAACAATGTGGAGCCATCATTTCCAGCTCCCTGTCCGTAGCCCGTAGAGGCTGATATCCTTTGATGGAGACCAAATTCAGCCTGAGCACTGTTTCCACCTGCTGGGCTCTGTGCAGGAGCTCCACAGGGAGATATTGTTCCTTTCTGCCTCTCTCGTGCTCTCTTTGTCCATTTTGTTCTGCWCTTTGCTGGCGTGGAGAATGGCAGAGGCTGCACATCCCTAACACGGTGCCCTGCTCTCTGCTCATGGGGAGGGAAGGAGGGAAGGAAGGAAGGAGCCTGCAYGGCAGGGAGCTTCTCACAGCTGCTTTAGGTGAGCTCTCAATGCAATGCTCCTCCCGCTGCTGCCTTTGCTTCAAACAGAGGACAGCAGCATCAAAGCTGATTTTATTCCTTCCACCCTTCCCGGTTACCTGCCCCCTGCCACACCCCAGCACATTCCCAAGCAGTGCAGTCTCCTTTCCTGTCTGAGYTCCTCACTGCCTGGTGACAGTCAGGGCACTGTGGGGTCCCAGCATGGGTGAGCATGAGCTGAGCACRAGCCCTTCCTCTCTGGAAAGGAATTTCTTGGAGTGTGATCCTTGGTCTCTCCATCTCACACTCTGCCAGTGTCTGCAGGCCAGCCCAGGCTGTCCTTCAGCACAACCAGGCACAAACACAAGTGAGGGGTGCTGGGCACTCCTGTGCCTTGTAACCATTGTCAAAGCAGACCAATCTCAAACCTCAAATCTGCAGCTGGCTCCACAGCCCCTGGTGTCCTGTGGACTGGCACACAGTCACAGCTCCAGGTGCTGCTGGCCAGGGACTGAGCCTGGAGGTTCAGCACGGCTTTGTGACAGATTGACAGAAAAACAGGAGAGAGAAAAATGAGCAGAGAGACTTGAAATGAGCTCGGGCCCTGCTATAACCTTGTGTGCAGAAATGGGTAATGATCCTGAAGGGCTGTGGGCCAGGGCAGCTCCTGGGGAAGGGGACACACTGGGATCCCTGCSAGGGCTCCTCTGCTGCCAGCAGCCAGGGGGGACAGACACCACTGCCGAGGGAGAGCACCCAGGGATCCAGCCCCAAGGGCTGCAGGRATTCCTTTGGCTACAATGGCTGCTCTCAGTTGTTGCTGAGGCTGTAGCACCTCCCACCTTCTCATAATAAGCAATTAATCTAAATTACGGAGGTCCCAGCTCTCTTTCAGCCATGTCTGTAGTGCTACTGGAGGAATGCTAAAGCTTGATGCCCACCATCTGCTTGTAGGTGTTCAGAATATCCTYGATCAGGGAAAAAGGTTTAACCTGACAACATCTGCTGCAGATGCAAAAAYTGTCTCCTCTTACAGATTTTAGGGCTGATGTTTGTTTGAAATAGTGACAGCACTGTTGTATCATGTTTAAAAAGCATATTTCTGGAGGTGCACAGGATCTCCCTGTCCCCTGGGTGCTGACTGACCTCAGCTGGGGGACGTGCCTGGCTGTACATCTGATCCCAGGGCACTGTCCAGGCACGTTTTACACCAATTCCTCATGGAAGAGGAGTCAAAGCCTTCAATTCTCTCTTTCCTTTACAGTTTTCTATCCCTTCAGGCCACTCCATGGCATCTCATAATTTCTTGATACCCGAGGGGATGTTTTCATYCTTATTGATCAATGCTTTGCAGACCATTCTCCCTGCTTTTGAACCTCACACTGACAAAAGGATTTTTGTAGCCTCAGTGCAGCAAACGTTTCATGATACTTTTCCTGGTGTTGTGTTTCATCTCAGATTCACATGAAAACTCCATTTCTGTTCCTTATAAAGTACAGAGTACGGCTGATTCCTTTCTTACCTGCCAAAATCCACTTTTTAATCAGGTGGCCACCTCGAGYTCTGCTAACAAGACCTGCACTGGCTCTGGGCTCATGGGTTTTTGTGTCCCTGAGGCTGCCTGCAGCTAACCAGCTCTGTAAGGGGCTGCAGGAACAGAACTCGGCACAAGTCATGTGGTTTTCCAAAGGACAATCTCATGGTATTTTTATTTGATTTATGTCTTGCTGTTCTTTCCTGTTTTCTGAACACGATGTTCATTTTTCCAACAGAGTCCTTAGGTTGTTTGGATATCTTTAGGGTGGAAGTGAGTTCATCGTTCTTCCAGTTTTGATCAAGTTCATTATTTTTCCTCTCAAGCTTATTTTTTTTAAGTCCACTGTGTATTACTTCACATTTGTGAACATTTCATACAGATACAAAGCAGATGAAAACTTTTCTCAGTGTGGGTTGGGGAGTCAGAATCACTTCACCCACCTGCAAGCAAGTTGGTGAGGCTGAAATGCCTTTTAGCTGTTGTTTCATTTGTGTGGGGAAAAAACGTAATCCAAGCCATGCAACTGGAAATACTTTGTGTACACTACAAACCTTAAATGGACTCAGGAAATTTTCTTTATCTAGTTCATTTTTATTCACTTATTTATATTGATGACATTTTTCTTACTTATATTTCTGATTCTGATTTCTTTATATATATATAAAAACACATATATAAATATAATAGATATAGTATATATAATATGTTATATATAAAATGGTTATTTATTTTTAAGATATCTATCTACAATATATATATATAACCATTTTATGTATCTGACTCTTATTGTTACATGGCCATTTGAAAAAATGTATTTCAAATATAGTGTGTAATTTAATATATTTGAAGAGTTTCCTTGTCCCAAAGCTGTCATAGAATAGTGTGATCTTGACGTATAAGGGTGTGACACAGGATTCAGGCAACTCAAATGTTGTGGCAGCTTTCCCATAGCTGCTCTGTGTGTTCACATCTGTGAYATAGAGGGGCTGAAGGCATTTATTCTTCATGAACCTATGAAACAGGAATAGKCAAGTTAATGCACAACCTCTGCCAACAAAAGAAAAAAAAAGGAAAGAAAATTGAAAAAAAAATTGAAATTTGTTTCTGATTCCAACATATGAGTTCTAGGAATTCTGGGTTTCTGCCAGGCCTCTGATTGCAAAACTGGCATGGAATCAGAACAAAAAAAAAACCCAACCTGCTTCTGTATTTGCTTTTGGCAGTTTGAAAGTCAGTATTCAGTATTGGTGTTGTTGCTTCCTTACACTGCAAGCACATATTTAGAAGAGGAAATAATTACATTGCAAGGAAAGAGAGAAAAATACCTGAAAATTTAGGATATTTCAGAAAAATCATAGCTGAAATTATTTTCATGTAGCTTAAAAAATTTAGAGGGTCAGGGTCAGCTACTCTTCCTGATGAAAAAAATATGTGTGAATAATTAATTCCTCCTACGTTCT